CTTCGATTATATATACATAAATATTACGTATAAATAATGTTCAACGGATTAACTAAATTTTTGGTATATAGTTTTACTTTGCCATTGCTCCCCTGAATCAAAATGCGCTTCTGGATTTTTCCATCTGAGAAAACGCGTTCAACTGGCGATAGAAACCTTGAGATCCTCACCAGGTATTGACCAGCCTGAAAGACAAAAGTTATTTCATATAAGGCGAGCGCACCGCAGACAGTCAGGTTATGACTCAGTGAAGCCGTACAGTACGTATTTTGGGGACAATTCAATCAAAGCTTAATTTCATGTAGTCACGAATGTCTCAATTATAACTCAAGGAATCATACTGTACGTTGTAATTAAACAATTATACAAAACAAAACAGATATAATCTACAACAACAATGAAAATCTAAATTGATTAAAACAGAGATTAACAATAAATCAATCAAAATAAATAGTAATTACTCAGCAAAATCAGTAGATAACTGCCATCTACTGTGCAAAATGAATAGGAAAACCGACCGAATACTATGAGAGTAGATAGAAAAAACGGCTGCACGTTTACAGGAATCGCATCGCCTTCCTGCCCATAATACTGTTTCACTTTAATTGCATCTGTGCCTCGTCCTGTTCATCCCTATCATTTTATTTTATCTTGGCTGTAATGTCATCCCAAATAAAAAATGGGCTGGAGAACGAGACGTATGTTGTATTACTCATATGCATGATATATAATCGCTGGGAACAACAAGCTAACATAATCAAGTATTTACAATATAAATTGGCTAATTCGAAACTCCTCGATTCGAAAGTCTCATAGAATTCGAATCTTCTTTCAATATGATAATAGCTGGCTATTTTGAAAACCTAAATAATTCGACTCGTAACCCGAAAGAAAATTTCCTTCCACGCCCAAAATATCGATGCTTTTTATTTTGAGTAATTCAAAATAAAATTTGCAGAAAAAGAATGGTCTTAAAAATTGACGTTTCACTTATGAGCCTATCCATTACTTCTAACGTTCGGTGTTCACCGGGTAAAATATGATTGATCGCACAATGCGCTTTGCGATAATGGAGAACAATAGCATTGAATGACAGAGCTAGTCTTCATCTGAAAACATAGAAATTGTAACTGACCTGACTCAACGACACTTAGAACCTTCGCATTCGAGTGAACTAAACACTGGGAATTGCTAAGGCTGAATTTTCGTTTCTTTAAGTACCCCTTCCTTACTTACGGTAGGTATCAGAAAATTTATTTTATTAGTCGCTTAAGTTCATTTTAATGATAATTTTTAAACAGTAATTTTTAACTTAACCTAAAATTCGAAGATGACACACAACGCCTCGTCAGATATAATAGCCACAACAGCAAAATTAGTGACGCTTTTAAAAAGACTGCATTTGTTTACTAAACGATATTCATTAGTTTTAGTGACAATCATACTTAAATGATGATCGCGATAACGTTAATAACTGTCACTTTACTTCACGAGAGAAATAACATTTTATATTCAACTCTGAAAATAAATCTCCTGACTTCAGTTTCGATATCACGTTATAAACCGATACATTATTATTTCTGTTTATCAAACAGTTAGGTTAATCTCGTATATTTCGAAATAACAGTTTTGCTAATAAAACGTCAGCTAGAACTATTAGAACTACTTTCGTCAGCATCTACAGGCGCATCAATTTTAGTCGTCTTCAGTAATCTACAATTAAAACAGTTCAAAGACTCATGAAAGAGGGGCTGGCAAATTATGCAAGAATCATCCTGAAATAATTTTTTAATAGTTACTCAACATTAGTGAGACGACCGCTGATAATAAAACATTCAAGTACTATTTATGGACTGGAACCGTGTTTTATTTTCGAGCAAGAAATTTATAGCAGCACTGCGATTCATTAAATTACTTAACTAAACATTTTCCTATATACTTGAAACTACTCATTTTTACGCTCGAGAAGAGAAAAATAGTCTATAAATAACCATCCATAATTGAAAGCCGGCAAAAAATACATTTATCACGTAAAGATCGTAAAGGTCGCAACGCTGTTCCCTCTTTAAGGAAATTAATTACGCACAAAAGAGATAGTGCAGCTATATATGAGAACGATCAGCGGGTAATGGAGTTGCTACCGCATCTGCTATAAAAGTTAACGTTGTGGAAAGTTTTACAAATGACTTTGAATCCGCCGCTGTAGGCCTTTACATTCTTGATATGAAACTGTGTTTCTATTGCAGATACAATGATGACATCTTTGTAACCTTCAAGAAGATCAATCTTACGCTCTTCTCAATTTCCTGAATGGTTCTGACGATGAGATAGCAACTGAACTCACGGTCGAAAAGACCATTTCTTTCCTGGGCTTCATGATAAAGAAAAATCGAAGCAATAATTGCCACTTTCCATTTTCTGCAGTTTTCATTTCGTGCTTCATAAATACTGTCATTAACTTCCGCAGAAGAACGACGCCTCACTGCAACCCCCATCGGTATGTAAAGCTCAGATTTAAAATGTGTCGTATATTTAAAATAATGATTAAGGTCACAGTATTCTCCATGATCATGTCCTTCTTCCAAGTCAAAATTTTTACTAGCTATCTGAATAAAATCCAAACGCATTATCTGCTGATGGGATATTGGGGTGAAGCCGTTTTAGTGCAGGCCACTGGCTGTTTCCAGCGCAACGATGGAAGGATCGACTGATGACAATAAACAGAGGTATGCGCCCAAACTGCTGCGCAAAAAAGTTACATATAGCCTTATCATTATCTCTCAACAAGCATTTACTTTCGCTACTGCGTCGTTGCTTACGCAAGGTGGGATTCAATATCATTTAATATTCAATGATGAATACTGAACAATAAATGAATTGTAAAGGTTGTTGATGCCTGACAGCAGTACGACAAAAAACGCATTCAATTCGGTCTAAAACAACATATCACAGCTTTCGAGCATGAACAGTAATAACATTCAGCGATAGAAGAAGATTTCATCGACAATCCATATCGTATTAATAGACAGGACCTGCAGATTCTAGAGCTTGACAATACAACTGATGCAACACGATACAAGAATCCACTTTCAATGAAGCATCCGGTGCAGCTTAGGTAAATGATGAATTAAGCGTCAAACAACTTTCTTCTAGCTAGAATTTCATCCTCCATAAACTTGTTTCTACAATCTAATGTTTCTTTAAATTGTTTTTCGTTGATAACCGCCTTTTTAAAATCATTTTCTTCTTTCAGGTTTTTCATTTTCTTTCATCTTTTACCTTCGGTTATGTTATATTTTTCGTTAAGACTAATATTTACCTAGCGATGCTTTTATCCGTGACAGGAACACGGATAAAATTACAGGTTTCGGCAGCTTTAAATAATAGATATTTTTCCTGGCTTTTAACTCTCTGCTTCTTTGCCATTAACATTCATTGTACCAAACGTACTGACGTATGAATCACACCAATATTTTAGTCCACGCATTAACAAATCAGTAAATTTAGCTAGTCATCTCTTGCGCTCTGCTGGCAGTGAATTCGAGAAACTTCGCATTGCATCTTATACGAAATACTTCATTAATAACCGCAGGCAGCAACTTTGCTGAAAACTACCAGCAACAAGCTATGGAGAGAGAAAGGATTATTTAAGCTGCTTTCATAACGAGGGTTCGATGCAAGCTTGCTAAAACTAATATAAAAGTATAATATAAGTGTACAAGAATAGAAATTTCGATCTGCAGAGCATAAGTGGAAGTCATTTCTTC